ACCCCCATAGGCAAAGTGGGGGAGAACAAGGGGTCACAAGACCAGTCAAGAGAAGCAAAGCAAGCTCAGGGTGGATCACAACGTCACCACACACACTGAGCACAAGCAAAGGGCCACAAGGCCAGTTCACATGCAGAGGTATATATGCAACAACAACAACACAGTGATCTCTACCTAGCAGAGCAAGCATGCAGGTATATATATAGATCACAGTACAAGCAAAGTCTACAGTCAGTGAGGAAACGTGGGCACAAGGCCTAACAGAGTGCAGAAACGCTAATGATCACCGGACTGAAGTGCCTTGGTGAATATATCAGCAGTGTTGGCCCGAGTGGCCACGTGAGCAAGACGAAGCTGACCACGCTGCTGCAACTCTTGAGCCAAGAAGTAACGCAGAGCGATGTGCTTCGTTCTGTGCTCCAGTCTGTACTCCTGACACAAGGCAATGGCGGCCTTGTTGTCTACGTACAGCACTGGAGGAGAACGAGGCCTCTCTCCCAAGTCGGTCAGCAGGTAGGTGAGCCAGCGTAACTCCTGTGCAGCCATGGCTATGGCGTAGATCTCAGCCTCACAACTGGAGCTGAGAACAGAAGACGAGCGAGGACCGTCAAGAAACAGAGCCAGAGCCAAGACTGAAGGTGTAACCCTATGACGACCGCTGCGTAGCCTGGTCGTCAACCCAAGAAGCGTCCGAGTGCCCAGTGAGGACAACGTCGCCCCGTCCTCCAAGCACGAGCCCCATGCCCGATGTACTGCACAAGTAGCGCAGTACCCTCTTAGCAGCATCCATGTGCACCTTTCGGTGCCGACCAGGAGCCACGTAGCGAGCCAGAAGGCCAAGAGGGTACGCAAGGTCAGGACGAGTGCAGGTCATCAGGTACATGAGGCAGCCCACTAGCTCTGGGTAAGGACCACTCGGCTCTACGGACTCGTCCGAAGGTGGAGCTGAGAGCGAGTGACCTGTAGCCAGAGGAGTGGCCTGTGCCGAGGACCAGGTGAAGCCGAAGCGCTGAAGGACCTGCTGCACCATGTGTGACTGAGTCAGTGTGATGGTGCGGCGTGCTCTGTCCCGGGTGATCTGCAAGCCAAGATAGCTGCATATACTTTGACAAAATGTTGAAAGCAGAATGAGAGTAATAGAATGGATTGCTTATGGTATCTCACACCCGAGTATTTACCTATGCAGTTAACCCCCCAGAGATGCAGTTACCAATAATGCTACCCACCAATAACTTTTACGCTCCAATAATTCTAGAGCTCTAGTGATACAATCATTGTAGGACCTAGAGTCTTATAAGGGGTACTACACTAAAATCTAACAGCAGACAAATTCTTCTTATGATTGTTGTACTCTACAATCAAGCTTCCGCTACGTCGGCACTATGCCTTTCTAGCATCTTGTACACTATGCTTAGCAGCGTGATTGGCCGGTAGTCTAGGTGGTGTACTTTCTTAGAGCTATGGTTAGATTTCCTATATCTGCCCTTGTACAGTACTTGCTCATTCTAGTTATTCATTCTCCCGTTCGTAGTTTCGCATGATATAGAGCTTAATTCGTTTCTATGGGCCCACCGCCCCGCGCTCCGCTCTAGTCCCGCCCGTTACGCGCTCGTTTTTTATGTTTCGCCCTGTGACCACACTAAACCAAACAGCAAGCAGGGTATGTGAAAGTTTAGAACGAGAATGATGAACTAGGAAATGAGTTGGGTACAAATATGAAACCCTAGAAAGTTGTACCCCATACTATCTACCCCACTACAGCCTAGAAAGACTATAGCATATAAGTTCGACAGGGTATATATAACTTTAACACACCCCCTTAACAGAGCCCAAAATTGGGCCCACCCTGACAAATCAGGGTTCCAGGCCCTCCTTACCTTGACCCCTAGGGTAGAAATTTTCGTACCCTGCTGGCAGTAGGGTAAAACGTATTGCACCCTGCTGGCAGCAGAGTAAAAATTGTCGTACCGTGATGCATAGGACGGGCGAATATATCTCAGCGCGTTCAGGTCGTCGCCCGGCGGAGCTCGCTGCCCGCGGGCAAAAAAAAATAAAACCCATTCAGGCATGCATCCGGTCAGGGAGGCATCAACCCTAAACACGGGGAGGCATGGATTTAGGGTTGATGCCTCCCTCGGATGGCATGCCGTCTGATAGGGTTTTAGTTTTTTTCTGCCCGGGGCAGCAGGTCGTCAGGTCGTCACAGGTCGTCAGGCTTGACGACCCATTTCCGCTGAGGAATACGGCACGAAACTGTCATTGACGAGCAACTTTGATCACCTGTAGAAATTGAACTGAAATGGTTGGAATGTTGACCGTTGATGAAGGTTGCTCTTCATCTGACGGATGCAGATGGCCTTGACCAAATTAAAGTGAGGCTGGATTTTTGGCCGTTCGATGAAGTGAGCGTCGAAATGCTATGTAAGAATAAAAAACAGAAAAGGAGGGGTTGCACTAGCAAGCAGGTGGATACATATAGGAAACCCTAAGGGGCCGTACTCACTATAGAGTACCCCACTGCAGGCTAGACAAACTACACATTCTAACTCACCCCCATAGTCAAAGTGGGGTATGATCAGCACAAAAAGCAGCAGTTTATAGTTCACAAATATAAGCAAAGCTAGAGGCTATCACAGAGGGCAAGTGAGGAGGAGGAGAGACTGTGGGGGCGAGAAGATGGGAGGCGACGACTGAAGCTGCAGACACACGGGCGACAGGAGCGGCTGGCACAGTGGCTACCGGGACAGCGCCCCGGACTACTGGAGTAACTGGCTCGGCGGCTACGAGGAGCGGCAGGAGCAACGGACCCACGGGCGACAGACGCAGCAGGCTCTCTGGGCTACCAGCGGCAGAGCCCCGAACTACAGGTGCTGCGGACAACGAGACGGCAGCCTCCGCTCAACCTCCCCCAACTGTCCCACACCCCTTTCACACACTCCCTACTGTACCCCTAGCATTGCTCACACGCCACCCCCTCGTACCACTCCGATGGCTCCAACACATCCACCCCCCTCAGCGGCAGCTGCAGCAGTGGGAGACGGAGGAGGAGGAGGAGCAGGGGACGGCGCACACACCCTTCACCCTCATACTCGCCACCCCCATACCCTGAGTGTGCGGTAAGCGAGCTCAGGTGTGCGCGAAGCGTGCACATGCGTGCGGGAAGCGAACTCGGGTGTGCGGAAAGCGAACGCAGGTGTGCGGGGAGGGGGGGGCCGCAGGGCGACGCGCGGGTCGACGGGGACGGGCGCACGGGTCCCCGGAAGCGGCGCGTGGGTCGACGGGGCCGCCACGAAGGGCGACGGGGAGCCGCGCACGGGTCGACGGGGCCGCCGCGAAGGGCGACAGGGAGCCGCGCGCGGGTCAACGGGGCCGCCACGAAGGGCGACGGGGAGCCGCGCGCAGGTCGACGGGGACAGGCGCACGGGTCGACGGGGGGCGCCGCGACGGAACGCGAAATCGCCACGTGCGCCCAGGGTGCGCGGCGGGCAGGAAACCGCAACGCGTCCCGAGCGCAGGGTGGGCAGAAAACCGTCGCGCGCTCGGAGCGCGCGGCGGGCAGAAAACCGCCATGCGCCCCGAGCGCGTGGCGGGAAGAAAAAACGTCGCGCGCCACGGGGCGCGCGACAAACAGGACAGATCGCGCACGCAGGGCGTACGATAGGCAGGACAGCAGCGGAAGCATCGGGTGCAGGGCTGATTTTATCATACTATTTTAGTCTGATTGTCTGAAATCTCAGACTTTTTTTTTCGCCTTTCCTGAAATTTCAGTATTCCTGTATTCTGAACTCTGAAGGCCTCAGACCTGTTAGTTTTTCAACTCTGAAAATTTCAGAGTACTTCATTGTGCGATACTGAGACTCGAGACTACAGGGAGTATGGCCCCTGAATTTGCCGAATTTCAGTCCTCCCCCCTCCCCCTCTCTCGAATTACATTCAATTCCCCCCCTGCCCCCCTCCCCCCTCCCCCTTCCCCCGCCCCCTCTTACTCCTGCTTCTCGCCAACTCCGCAACGTTTTCCCTAGGCCAAACTCGCTTGACAGATATTCGCTATTCACCAACTCGGATGCGGTTTTACAAACTTAAAACTTTTCAGACTAATGATTTTTTCAAACCTGACATTTCAGAGTACTCAGAACTTGGGAAATGACCCTCAGACTAAACGAAATCTTTTTCTCCCCTGCCTCAGAGTGGGTTTTTTTGAAACGTCAGCCCTGATCGGGTGGGACCACCCACAGGATCGACCCAGGAGGGTCGACCTGCTCTGATAGCATGTCGAAATGCTATGTAAGAATCAGAAACAGAAAAGGAGGGGTTGCACTAGCAAGCAGGTGGATACATATAGGAAACCCTAAGGGGCCGTACTCACTATAGAGTACCCCACTGCAGGCTAGACAAACTACACATTCTGACAGTGAGATATCGATCTGACGGACGCGGATGAACTGACCCAAATTGAAAGAGAGGTTGGAATGTGGGCCGTTGATTGAGCAGGTGTAGATCTGACGGTCGAAGGCTGACGCGAAAAAGCGGGAACCTGCTAACGCGACATTCAATCGCGAAGCGTGGTTCAGTTTGTCAGCACGCGAAGTATGCGCTGATCCACGCTACAAAAGTTTCGGTAGCAGGGAAGTTTACACACAACCCTGATATCGTCAGGCTAACCATAATTCCTATCAGTGTAAAACAAACCAAACTCTTTTTGCGTAAGGGTAAAAATCTTGGAATCCTGATTTTGATAGGGTAACTCTAAAAAAACGGCCGGCCCCCAGGGTAATCAGGGCAATTTACCCTGATATTTTGGGCCCTGCCCCTTAACCTGCTTGTGGTATGAGCTTGTGAAGTCACTGAGGAGTGGAAGAAGCAAAGGAAACAGGAACACATATCAGCCATGATAAATGCAACAACGGCAGGTGCAGGACCCGACAGGTGGGCGTGAGAGCAGGTGCCGTGCTGCCCTCGTTGCAGCCACGGCAAGTGGCGACCTCCGCATATGACGGGCGTCACACGGGCTTGACGGCGAAGGTGAGGTACCCCGTGTGCCCCTTGCTCTCCGCCACTGGCCTCGCTGCCACGTACCTCCTCTCCTCGCCCATGCTCTCCACCACCCCCCTCTTTCGCCTGCCCATCTCCCTCCTCCCTCTGCCCACTGCCCCTGCCTCTCCCGTCGCACCACCGTCTTGTCTCCCCTCCACCACGGTGCTCTGCTCCATCCCACCGTCCTCCTCACCGCCCCCCTCCTCGCGACGGCGCTTCGCTGCCCGGTTGTCGCTCTGGTGGCCCCCGTCGCCCTCGCTGGCCCTCCAATTCTCTCCCTCCCCTGGCGGCTCAAGGCTCGGAGCTTCCGAGGCTCGCTTCAGGGTTGGCACGGTGAGGACTTCCTCCCGCACCTCGTAGCTTCGGCTGAGCAGCTCCACAGTGCGAATGTCTGGCGGCGTGGGGGGTATGGTACGGAGGGAGCAGCGATCAAAGGGTATGGTACGGAGGGAGCAGCGATCAAAGGGCATGGTACGGAGGGAGCAGCGATCAAAGGGTATGGTACGGAGGGAGCAGCGATCAAAGGGTATGGTACGGAGGGAGCAGCGATCAAAGGGTATGGTACGGAGGGAGCAGCGATCAAAGGGTATGGTACGGAGGGAGCAGCGATCAAAGGGTATGGTACGGAGGGAGCAGCGATCAAAGGGTATGGTACGGAGGGAGCAGCGATCAAAGGGTATGGTACGGAGGGAGCAGTGATCAAAGGGTATGGTACGGAGGGAGCAGCGATCAAAGGGTATGGTACGGAGAGAGCAGCGATCAAAGGGTATGGTACAGAAGGAGCAGCGATCAAAGGGTATGGTACGGAGGGAGCAGCAATCAAAGGGTATGGTATGGAGAGAGCAGAGATCAAGGGGGGAGGGGAGATGAGCAGACGGGGAGGTGGAGCAGCGAGCGAGGATTGGAATGGTGGGTGGATGCAAGCAGTGGTGGGTGAGTGATGGGTGAGTGATGGGTGAGTGATGGGTGAGTGATGGGTGAGTGATGGGTGAGTGATGGGTGAGTGATGGGTGAGTGGTGGGTGAGTGATGGGTGAGTGATGGGTGAGTGGTGGGTGAGTGATGGGTGAGTGATGGGTGAGTGATGGGTGAGTGGTGGGTGAGTGATGGGTGAGTGATGGGTGAGTGGTGGGTGAGTGATGGGTGAGTGATGGGTGAGTGATGGGTGAGTGATGGGTGAGTGATGGGTGAGTGGTGGGTGAGTGATGGGTGAGTGATGGGTGAGTGATGGGTGAGTGATGGGCGAGTGATGGGTGAGTGACGGGTGAGTGATGGGTGAGTGATGGGTGAGTGGTGGGTGAGTGATGGGTGAGTGATGGGTGAGTGATGGGTGAGTGATGGGTGAGTGATGGGTGAGTGGTAGGTGAGTGATGGGTGAGTGATGGGTGAGTGATGGGTGAGTGATGGGTGAGTGATGGGTGAGTGGTGGGTGAGTGACGGGTGAGTGATGGGTGAGTGATGGGTGAGTGATGGGTGAGTGGTGGGTGGAAGGGTGCAGTGCAAGAGAGGGGAATGCAAGGCAGAGCGGCGTGTGGGCGTGGGGGGCTGGAGACGCACCGGTGAGGCCGTGGGCGCGCATGGCTTGGGAGCAGCGCTGCACCTGCTCCATGCAGGGCGAGAAGGAGCACAGCCGCCCGCCCGGCAGCAGGCACGCGGCGGCGGAGGGCAGGGCGAGCCAGGGGCAGGGCAGGTCCAGGAAGGCGGCGTGCGCGGAGGCATGCAGGTGAGGGGGAAAGCCGAGGCCCTGGATGTCCCTGACCTGCACACTGGCCACGCCCGCTATGCCATTGGCTTCAAACTCCGCCCTGCACATGGCACAGGGCACCACGTGGGTGGTCAGAGGAAAGGGGAGCTCGCCATTCATTCGCATTCCCCTCACCTCCTCTCGGGCTCTCCCCAGCCTGCCCATGCCATGTGGCACGCACCCCTCTCCTCATCCTCCTCACCTGCCATGTGCTGCGCGCCCCAGCAGCTTGAGGAAGCATGGCAGCTTCCGCCACGCATGCCGCCTCACCCTCCATCCCCCTCACCTCGCCTGCTCACCTCGCCTGCTCACCGGGCTTGCTCCGCACGGGCGTGGTGGAAGTCGAAGGAGAGCAGGCGGCCGGTGGGCGCCACGGCGCGGGCGAGGGAGTGCGACAGGCTGCCGCTGCCGGTGCCGCTCTCCAGCACGGTGGCGCCGGGCGTGACAGCCAGGCGGGCGATGATGAGCGCGATGTCCGGCAGGTAGAGGATCTGCGTGCGGTGCGGTAGCACCTGGTGGGGTGGGGGGGGAATGGGGGGGTGTTGTATGGGGGGGAGGGTGTTGTAGGGGGGGAGGGTGAGGAAGTTGACGGTGGGTGGTGGTGGAACGAGGCAAGCAAGCGACAGGTACAGGATCTGCGTGCGGTGCGGTAGCACCTGGTGGGGGGGCAGGGAGAGGGAGGCGGGGAGGGGAGGGTGGTGGGCGATGCAGTGGGTGTGCTGCTGTGGTGGGCGCATTACTGGAATCTGCTCGCACCCAATTCAACTGAACCTGCTCGCACATGCTCCACGCCACCTACTCGCCACCCCGCCTCACCTTGCTCCACCACCCCTCACCTCACCTCACCTCACCTCACCTCACCTCACCACACCTCACCGCACCTCACCTTGGTCCAGAGGGCGGGCGAGGGTGCAAGCAGGTGCACGAAGCCGCCTCCCTTGGCCGCCCGCACCCGCGACCCCACCGGCTGCCCCACCCACTCGCTGTGCCGGAACACTCCAAAGCTGGTGCGAAAAGGGGGAGAGGGAGGGTGGGGGGCGGGTGGGGGGGGGGGGGGGGTGAATGGGCGAAAGGGTGGGGAGTGAGGGTGGGGGGAAGGGGGAAATGGAGTCGAGAGGGCTCAGGCCAACGCCGAGTGGGGGAATTATTGCATGGGGAAAGAGTGCGTTCAGAAAGCAGAGTGTGGGGAACACAGGTGTGCCCCTCATCCCACTCCGCCCCGCGGCCATCACGCATCCCCACTAAGCTGCCTCACACAGGCCCCGCCAACTGCCCTTTGCCCCACGGCCATGTCTCGCCGCTCCTGCACCACCCTCCCTCGCGCCACCCCCACGTGCGCCACCCCCACGTGCGCCACCCCCACGTGCGCCACCCCCACATACGCCAACCCCCCGTGCGCCACCCTCCCTTGCACCACCCTCCCGCGCGCCACCCTCCCTTGCACCACCTTCCCGCTCGCCATCCTCCCTTGCACCACACTCCGCGCGCCACCCTCCCTTGCACCAACCTCCCGCGCGCCACCCTCCCTTGCACCACCCTCCCGCGCGCCACCCTCCCGCGCGCCACCCTCCCTTGCACCACCCTCCCGCGCGCCACCCTCCCGCGTGCCACCCTCCCGCGCGTCACCACCCCCAACCCCGCCCCCCCCTCCCCCCCTTCCCCCCTCCCCCCTCCCTTCGCGCGCCACGGTGGGTCTGACCGGTTCTGCAGGGAGCGGCTGGGCGTGACGGTGGCGATGCGCATGGCGTCCCGCGCCTCGTACACCACCACGCGATCCCCCTCCTCCACTCGCCGAACGCCTGCCCGCCGCGGGCCCGCCACCTCCATGCCGCCACGGAAGCTGGCGGACTGGGCTGGGCGGAGTTTGGGGAGCTGAGGGGGGGAGGGGGACGGCGGGAGACGGGGTTTAGCGCGGCAGATCCCAGTGAAGGGGTTTAGCGCGGTAGAGGGCAGTGGAGGCGGAGCAGGGGCGAGGGGGGAAGAGTGAGAGGGGCGAGAGTGGGAGCGCGTGATAGAGAGATGGCCCGGTGGGTGCATCCCAAAAATGAGGCGGTCGATTCAGTAGGTTTCGAAAAGTCACCTTTCACTCTCCCAGGAATATATGGATCACCAGACGGGGAACGTGCATTTCGTGGCGACGTAGACAAGCGCACGCGAAATAGACAAGCGCCAGGCAAATTTTTGGATTTGCCCGACAAAAATAGACAGGACGCAGACGGGCGAAAACAAAGTCCACATATAGTTTTAAACATATGGTTCGCGAAATTTCGCCAACATTTTGTGCAGATTTCGTTCGGCGTGAGCAGTGACACAGCGACGGTCGCCACAAGGGGGTCGCGCAGAGATGTCGCCAGTAACATGCAGAAAAGTTATGATGCGCAAATTTTGGTGCTTACATACAGAATAAAATGCACTACGAGGCTCTCAAACATGCCAAAATGGAGTCCACAGAATTGGCTAAGTCTTGGGAATTTTTTAGTTGTTTTATTTTTTTATGCTACGATAGTTTTAGCCATCCTATACCTTACTACAATGGAGAGAATTGTCAAAAACACATTTAAGGGTGGTTTGTGGCTCCAAATGTCTACCTTCTGGTGTACCTTCAAACGCTGATAATGGATAGGTTAGTGATGCAAATCATCTTCTGAATGGCTCTAGCATCTTCCATTGACATCCTCTACTGTTTAGGATTGAAATAATTTTTTTGGTGAATTCACCAAAACCAACATATCTGTTGGAAATAATTGATTTAAGCGCTCTTGTCGTGTCGAAACACCAAGTCAGAAGCGAAGCTCAACATATCGAAGCATCAGCGAGTCAACCCTCGGAGGTTGAGCAACTGCTGGAGGTTACGCGAAAGTCAAAGGTCAGCAACCTTTGACCCGACAAGTACAGCGCGACAGCAAGGACAAACAACTGACTCGCTATTGAGCAGTTGCCCGAGTCGTCACTGTATCGAACCGCAACAGCAATAGTAAAACGGTTATTAGTTATAACCCTTCATATTCCCTTGTACTCTTATAAAAGCTTGTATCTCTTTGTTTTAATCAATCTACGTTGCCCTCACACACCAGCGCAAGGTGGTTCACAACCTTTCATTAAACGCTTCCGCTATTACATCAGTCCTACCAGGAGTTTAGTCCTGCAAAGATCCTAAGGGCTCCTTTTCAGCCCAACATGGTATGAGAGCTGTCAGGACAAACTCCACTATCAAGACACCTACAACATCAGAAAGCATGGCTACTCAGAAGGAAAGGAGTTCCTCTAATGGTTCTCCCGGCACTACCCCTACTCCACCTCCTGCCTCTGGCCTACAGACAGAGCAGGGCACGGCGACAAGACCAGCAGTAGGGTCCACTGAAACTCCTGCGAATAAACCTGCAGACTTCGACCAGAACATGATGGAGAAGTTCTTCTCCTTCATGTCCTTCTACGGGCAACACCAGCAGTCGGCACCTGCGCAGTCAAACAACAGCAACAACAACAACGACGTGACGCCCATGAGCCTCGACGGCTCATCCTACGCACGTGGAAATTAACAGCAGCAACCTACCTTTGCTCCGTACGAGCCCCAGCGCGGCTCCGTCAGCTTTATGCCACAACCGCAGCCTGCACCTGGACAAGAGAAGACACTGGACGCACTTCAAGTTCAGTCGCAGTTCGCGCACGTCTTAAAACTGCAAACGTCAAAGCCTTTCGACGGGAAGGATTTCTTTACCTGGTCGTTCGAATTCGAACTAATGATAGAAGGCGCGCAGATTCTTGGCTTCTTCGACGGGTCCCTGCCATACCCAACACACGGCACACAGTACGACAAGCAGCAGTACACGTATCAGTTAATGATGTCGTACACAATACTACTGAGAAACATCACTCCGAATCAGCAGCAGAATATACGGTCTTACCGGGGATACGGCAACTCTGCAGAGCTCGCGTACAATCACCTGAAGAACCTGTATCAAGCAACAGACAGCGTTAATCAAAGCCGGTTAATGGCGCAACTAACAACAATCGAAATGAAACCGGGCGAAAAGGGGATGGCGTATATCAGCCGCTGTCGCGAATTGCGCGACAAACTCCTTCGATGCGGAGGGTCGATTTCAGAAGACGCCTTCGTCACAGTCATCATCGGCGGCCTCGGTCCTCAGTGGCGCTCCACTCGCGCCATACTCCGAGCTCACGGAAAAATATCAGAAGCAGCACTCTGCGCCGAGATCCACGCTGAACAGCAAGATATGGACCTGCAAGAAGAACGACACAAGAGGAAGACATCAGTGCCCGAATTCGCATTCCACACTCAACGGCGCTACAAGAACAACAACCGGCATCAACCGAAACCAGTACCTCCGTTCTGTCACCTTTGTAAGACGTCAGGTCACCCCCGTACACACTGCCCAAACCGACAGCAGTCAACGTAGCGGCCGCTTCGCCCTTCAAGCAGTCAAGCCACCTCAACGCAAGCGAATCCGACCACTCAAGTACAAGCTTCAACAACATCAACGGGACAATCTGCGCAAGGAACAAGAAACATCGTCAGCTGCATGGCACGACTGACCGACTCCTGCATGGCACCACCGCATTACTCACCGGAAGAGCAACTTGACAATAGCACGCCTCGTCGCGAGTCACTTCAACCAAACCCGACGTATGCAGCCATCGCTCAAAGCGAGCCGTCCGGGAAAGATACGTGGTTCTTGGACAGCTGCTGCGGACAGCACATGTGCTCTTCAGGACGCTTTGTTCAACGCGAACACCAACTTCAACGTGAGGTCGTCATCACCGTCGCCAACAATCAGAACCTGCGCACACGACGACAAGGCGTAGTGCAACTTCAGTCACGAGAGACAAACGTCATACTGCAAATGTCTAAGGTTTTAATAGCAGAAGAGCTCGGTTACAACTTACTGAGCGTCAGCCAACTGATGGCGAAGGGCATACACCTCGAAGCAGATAGCACCACTCAGGAGTTCAAGTTGTACCACGGAAGAGGAGGTTGTCAGACTTATATGACTTAGCCTATGTAGGCTATACTGGGGTAGCACATATGGGGTACAACACATTTCTAGGGTTTGTACTTGTACCCAACCTTCCCCTTAGTCAATCATTCCTCGTAATCTTCACATGGTATAGAGCAGGTTCCCTAGTGGGAACGTTCCTAGGGCCCACCACTGAAAATCGGATTTTTTTTCCTGCCCGGAGTGCGCTTCGCTCCTGCCCGAGTCGCGCCGCGCGTGCCTACCCTCCCGTCGCGTCCCCTGACCTTAGCGGCCCGTCGCGCCCTCTTACGGCCCCGTAGCGGCCCCTCTCACGGCCCCCCCTCACGGCCCCTCTCACGGCCCTTCGCGGCCCCTTCAGGCCCCTCGCGGCCCCTTCGCGGCCCCGTCGCCGCCCTTCGAGGCCCCTCGCGGCCCCTCTCACGGCCCCTCGCGGCCCCTTCGCGGCTCCCTCGCGGCCCCTCCGCCGCCCTTCGCGGCCCCTCTCACGGCCCTTCGCGGCCCCTTACCGCCCCTCGCGGCCCCTTCGCGGCCCCTCGCGGCCCCTTCACAGCCCCGTTGCCGCCCTTCGCGGCCCTGTCGCCGCCCTTCACGGCCCCGTCGCGGCCCCTCACGGCCCCGTCTCGGCCCCGTCGCCGCCCTTCACGGCCCCTCACGGCCCCTTCGCGGCCCCTTCACCGCCCTTCGCGGCCCCTTCTCGGCTCCTCCGCGGCCCCTTCTCGGCTCCCTCACGGACCTGCCGCCCCGCCGTCGCCGCCCCTGCAGCAGCCGCCGTCCCTGCAGCGGGAGCCGCAGCCGCCGCAGCCACCGACACCAGCAGCCGCCGCCGCCACAGCCGGGAGCCGCAGCCGCCGCAGCCACCGACAGCAGCAGCCGCCGCCGCCACAGCCGGGGCTGCAGCCGCCGACAGCAGCAACTGCTGCCGCCACTGCCGGGGCCGCCGCCGCCGCAGCCGCCGACTGCAGCCGCCGCCGCCGCCGACAGCAGGGGCCGCCGCCGCCGTTCCGGCCCTGCCCTGCAGAGAGGAGCGGCAGTCCTCTACTGCCCTGTAGCGGCCCCGTCCCTGCCGGCGCACCTCGGCCCTGCCCCACCACTTGCGGACCTCTACCCACCTGCCCTAGTAAGAGCACCGCCGAGCTGCGCCCCTACTGTTGCTACTGCTGCTGCTGCTCCTAGCCTGCTGCCACTGCTGTCATGGCTACCCCTAGCGTTCTAGTCTTTGATGCTGAGGGTCGGGCTGTTGACTTTGAGGTCTGGGTCGATGATCTACAGCTTTTCCTACAGTGCGATAGGAAAGACGGTCTCTCACTGTTCGATCTCACGTCTGGCGCCTCTACTGCCCCTGCTGCCGATGCTGACAGCACTGTTCGCTCACAGTGGGCCACACGCGATGCTGCTGCCCGTCTTGCTGTGCGTAGTCACTTGCCGTCCTCTGAGCGCGCGCACTTCAGTCAGTACAAGAGTGCTAGGACCTTGTACGACGCTGTAGTCGCACGCTACTCTTCCCCTGCCACTGCTGCCCTTAGCCGCCTCATGCTGCCGTACCTGTTCCCTGACCTCGCCGCCTTTCCCACAGTCGCTGACCTCATTACGCACCTTCGCACTAGTGACACCCGCTACCTCGCTGCGCTTCCTGCTGAGTTCTGCGCCAAGAACCCCCCCCCCCCCATGTACATCACCCTCTACTACATAGTCACCCGGCTCCCTGACTCCCTTCGCTCGGTCATGGACCACTTCCTCTCTGTTTGCCCCACCACACTCACCGTTGACCTCATCGAGGAGCGCCTCCTGGCAGCTGAGAAGAGTATAGTCGCTGTAGGAGCCTCTCGTGGTGACCCTCGTGCCCCCTTCTTTGAGGGGTGCTCCCCCTCCCCCCTT